CCACAGCTTCAGCTTCTTGGTCAGAGCAGATCACGTTGGACCGATTGAGACTTCTTGGAAGCGGCTCCACGGCAATATCTGGATTAACTTTTTGGTCGTTCATCAATCTGATAGTTCCTGCCTAAGAACTAACATGTTCATTCTAACTCCAAGCCGTGGATTAAGCGGAACAAGAAACTTCTGTCACATGTCGGTAGGGAGTGTAGTTGGCACAGTTAGAATGCTCCTCTGGACCCGTACTCTGTAAGTGGTCGACCTGTCTGTTTGTCGGTGAGAAAAAATAAATTGTGCTCACCAACAACTACGTGATGTTGTTATGCGTGCAAAGTCATTACGAGAACTAGTATACACTCACAGCCTATTGATCATGCACCACTTTGATGGCAGTTGTCGACTACTACGTCGATGTTTCCACCACTCAACAACCAACAAGATCGGAAGGCCTCAGTCTGCCCACAATCCCAGTGATCGCTCACCCTATGCTAGTGTTCTTGAATTATCGAACAGACTGCCACGTCGACACAAATCGCTAGACACACACTCTCCACACACCCCCTGTGCGCACATCCGTCGCGCCCGTCCGCTTACATTCCCAACAATCGTTGTCCACTATTTAAACGTAATCATGCTCACAGTGTATCTACAACGAGTATGTTAGGCAAACTGCCCTCATGGTCAACCCACATTGCTCTTGGAATCAGTTGTCATTCACCTGAGGTCGATAAGGTACAGTAAAACAATGGCCAAGCTTATAAGATGCAATTTTCCGAAAGGTGTTTGGATTAACAAATGGTGTTCACTGTGTGATAAATCATGGTCTATTCCGCTGGTAATCAAAGGTAGCTGTCGGCTTGAACCCACAAACTATCCCCAGTGGTGCTTCTGCATGAAGGTTAATGCGGCGGATTATTCCTGAGTCTTTAGTCGGGGACCCAGCTCGAAACGGTTACAACATCATGACACTTAGCAGCACGATTTCATAAACCATCGTGCATGCAAAACCAACCCTACTGATTGCACGCAGTAGTTTGACGGAAGTGGCCGCTTAAAGAGAACGGAAACAACGTGATACATGTGTGGACTTCTCCGAAGACTCGCAGTCTGGACCACCACATTCTTGCTATACAGCTGGAAGGGCAACGGGGAGTAAGGGGTTCTGTCTCTGAGTGGAGACCAGAATTTGTTAGCATTTTTTTAATCTGCATCGGTGGGTCAGAGTTCGGAATGCGCTGCTATGTTCTGTTTTATGGCCGAATATGGAGTTTCCACAAGGCAGTTCTGGGCCACGAGCTGTTTCTCCTTGTTTTCCTAGCAAAACTTACGCGCCCCGATTATCTCGGATTTCTTGCTGTTCGTGATGATGTTAAGATGGGCAGCTGATCGCCGATCAGTGAGATCACGATGCCCTTATACTATATAATTGGTTATTTCTACAATGTGCATCCTACGTAAATCATCCTTATAGGTCGTCTCCTATACGTCTCCGGCCGACACCACCACATAACCAAGCTGTGGAGACCATGGTTACCGCAAGCAGTTCATCTCCAGCTGCGCGATTAACCCTGGATAGTTTAATTTAGGCTGAGTCTGGGCTGGCTCATTGCAACCTGAGAGGAAGGCGTCAGGATTTGGAAAACCAACCACGTCGGTATGCTGCACATTGCTAATTCGGGTGGTTTGATCCAGCACTTTTGTTACTCTCAGGATGACCTATGTAGCACATCCTTGCGCCTTCACCGGTGAGAGATTGCTAAGCCCATGCTTGGCCAGGCTCATGGATAAACGTCAAGCTCCGTCGCAAGCACCCGTTCTATTCACAGCGGGACCAGCCACCCAGGTAGTGATGGTTTCGAGGGATTGTCCTACCTTCCAGATCTAACTTAGCATTGTGTTGAGCCCTAAGGTCGTAGTGCGGTCGGTACCGGCGCATTGGTGGCGACCTACAAGAATGGACCTACACAACTTTCTGAGAAGGAACCCCAAATATCGTCTGGTCACCAATACTTCTACAGACTTACAAATCGCACACTCTAATGGTCTACCAGTTCAAGTTGGCACGCATAACAGTGGGCGTAGATCGTTGACTGTAGCCTAGAAAACCACGGTTGTTTTTGAAAGGACGTCGTTTTCACAAACCCTAAACAGGGGTGCTGCAGAGACAGTTTGCGACCAAGAGAGCCCTGCGCCCCAACTCCAGCATGTGCGTTTCCAGGAGGCCCCCCCTTCCACACCAATGGAAGCCGCCTTAGGGAACTGGTGCCCGTCGCTTGTTAGACAGGACCACTTTGAGGGCGAGACGCGATGCTTAAAACTGTTGTTATGCTAATGAGCAATTAAAGATGTGGTAGCAATGCGTTCGGTTTCTTTTTGCACAAAAAACCAGTCGTACCCGGGTAAATCCTGATCGAATACCTATCCAGCTGGCGAGTTCCTTTCCATTCTTGTTCATTATTGCTCCAAAACAATCTGTCGTTTCTCACAACCCCCCGCAATACTCGCACCCTTGGTCAGGTAACAACTCAAGAGTTTCACTGTCAAACAACCACAACTCCGTATTGCGATATTAGGATGGTGCACTGAGTTCACATGATTGACACACTTGACTCATCGAACAAATCACTCACTCAACTGCTGATCAACTGGGTATGCACTACCTGGCATGTGAGTAGGAGGTTGGGTATGTGGTATTTGGTTTGTTCTGCCTACCTGAATAATCTTCTATTAACTTGCACACGTTGCTTACGCTAATTGTGCTTATCTTCGTTAACTTTATTGCGTTTGTAGCATTTTTGAGTAACTTCTGGACATTTTGTACTTATCGCGGATTCGTTGCTAACCAACTTACTTCATATGCTAATTTAGCGAAGAGTTATGTCTGCATAGCCGTATTCTTTAACAGATATATTTTATTTGATAATGTCATTTCAAGTGATTGGCTGTTGCTTGACATCCCCGGTGTGGCTGCGCTTGATGTGCATGTTGACAAGGTGCCTACCTGTCTATTACCCACTACCTCGTCCATACTGGCTCCAGGAGACAGTTGGTCGTTGCTGGGGTGACGGGTGCACGGTCCTTGTGGTCGTGCTAGGCTCGAAGAGTGGTTCCATGCACTCAGTGTGGAGCGGACTACGGTCCAGCCACCGCCTTGTGTGCGATTGATTCCCAAATACAGCGTGCTTGTGTTTGCCTGTGAAGGAGTGTGGGCCGGCTCCGTTGATGAAACGTGGCTCCCATCCACATGCCTCCCGGTCTTATTCCTTCGGGTTTACACTGGATATGGGTGTGTGGTTGGAGCTGTGGTGGTGCAGCGCAAGCCACCCATGGTCCCTCTGTAGGCGCAGGCGTCCTGTGGCTGGCCACAGTGACAGGCAAATCCGCAAAACGTATGCCACCAACCATCTATAGTTGGTTTGCTTGTCCTGTTGGGATCACACGACTCATGTCGTCGTACCAAAGGTGTGTCGCGCCATCCTTCTGATGAATCATTCATAACACAAATCGGTCGTGTATTTTTTCAAGAGTCCCACAGTCGACCATGTCCCTTTAGGTATTGAGAGCTTGATTCAATGTGTAGTACATGTCCGGTTGGGACTAGGACTTGAACGGCGGAGAGGAGTATGGAGATATAAAGTAGATAGTACATAACGAGGACTTGTCAGATGGTTTGGAAAATTTCGATTTAACGTAACGGGCAGTTATAGGGATTGACGCCACAAAACTCTGTACTCCCTCTTACGGCATTTCAATCGTGTTTGATCTCATCAGGTAGAGCTATCAGGCATTCGGGAACCCTGGACCTCAATGCGAATGCTAGCCGAAACCCTTAGACCTACGGCCACTACGGTCACGTCGGACAGCGCTTCTGCCACGAAGTATACAAGGCTGATGGAAACGCTAGTCTTTGATAGCGCTCTCGTTGGTGTGAATGGATTGCGACCGCTTACTCTCACAATCTGGACCGCGTATCCTCATTTAGGAAATGTCTGCTTCTCAAAAAGACTATTCTCGAAGTTGGTATGGTAGTGTTCCTTAGCATAATCGTTTCGTCTACCACAATCAAAAATATTCCCTTAGGCCAGCTCTCACTCATTGTCTATAACTTGGTGAAGTGTGTGGTAAACGGGAACATAACTTAACCAGCGTTGATACTGTTTAAAGTGCCGGGGTGGTGTCATGTTCACTTAATTTCAGTGTTCCAACACATAATGGTGCACCGGGTCAACCTTGCCGCAAAATTGACAAGCAGGAGTCGATTTTTCGCTTCACCAACACGGATGCGCTCGTTCAACCTGGCCGGAATTAGGATTAGCCTACTTGTGCATCTGGTGAGTATCGCCATCTCCATCTTGCTCAAACAACTATTGGCTTTCTGCGATTTCCACCGCCTCCTTAAATGAACCTCTGCGATATGCTCGCACACCTTTCTTCTTAGCAGCCATTTGGATTGTCCAATTCAATTTGGTAGCTCTGTGTTTTGTGCAAATACTGTCCCACGGCTGAGACTCTCGGAATTTTGCCCGTTGTTCAAATTTACAGTTCGTCGGGTGATATGCTTGACTTTGGACTGCAAAAATTCGTAGGGGATAACGACCGGCTCTCTCCGTGGTTTGGCCCATTGTCATATGAGTACAGTCCCAATAGTTTTAGGGTTCTAGTCGCAGTTTGTTATTCCTTTCATTGACGAAGGGGGTCTTTCGCGGTGCTCCGGGGCTTCCCGCGTAGTCTTCTTACTTCAGCTGGAAAGATAATTAATTTATTTATTCTCTGTTTCCCTACCCTGAGAGATTACCACCGAGTTTTCTTACTTGGACAGAATTCCTACCGCCCCTATCCACTCCGTCGGGGGTCTTGAACTGTAGGTTAACACTTTATTTAAACCATCTTGAATAACCGTTACGGTAAACACTAGCTAATAGCTTGTCCATTGCCAGCATTCTGCGCAGCGAATCTGTCCTCCTCCATCACGCAGAGGGTTTGTGACTAGTTGAGCAACGCTGAGGCTATCCCCCCCCCCCCCCCCCCCCCCCCCCCCCCCCCCCCCCCCCCCCCCCCCCCCCCCCCCCCCCCCCCCCCCCCCCCCCCCCACCCCCACCCCCCCCCCCCCCCCCCCCCCCCCCCCCCCCCCCCCACCCCCCCCCCCCCCCCCCCCCCCCCCCCCCCCCCCCCACCCCCCCCCCCACCCCCCCCCCCCCCCCCCCCCCCCCCCCCCCCCCCCCCCCCCCCCTGCGTCAAATTGGAATTTCAAGATGAACCAATAGTATAGGTGCGTCCCCGTCAGTATTTTCTCTGGTTTGCGCGATATATAGTTCATCGTTAGCTTCCAACTCATTCATGTAAAACGGCAGGCAATGCTATGGCGCGCCTACTGCCACTACTAAGCTCCCACTCAATACCAACACGTTATACCTTTGTCCAATGAAGATTTAAGAGGTGTTTAAGTGTTAAAGCGACTCCATGGCTTTCGTACCCGAGCTCTGGTCATAGAGCCAGTATGTTCAAATCATGCAGACTTCCACGGCTGTCATCCTTGGCGAAGTAGCACTAGCTGCTGGCATCCGGAAATCATGGGGTGGAACTCGGCAGGTTTCTGCTGGCGGTGCACCACTGACGAGACCCAGAAGATCTAAACAGTGCTATGTGGTGTTTTTCCAGACTTACCAAAACCTCCTGACTGAGAATGGACCGTGATGAACTATCTCTGAGTATAATAAATCCTTACTCCTCATTGTTAAGTACAAAGCTCTCATCTACGTAGCACTACCAAACTTTCGGTGGACCAGTCGTGTGTAATAACGCTCTGCTCATGATGTCTCCTATTTAGAGATCTACCAGCGCAAGAGATAACTGCGATCCCAGGATGAGGATTTGTGCTACACTGTACAGTTTCCATGGAAAACGAAGTGTAATACACTAAGACATACTGTTATACCCTCGAAGAGTTGGTCAGCTGCATGTCGTTCGAGCACTCAGAGTGTTGTCTTCATGTAGACCACGTTTACTTTGTGTACAGTGGTGAAAACTGAGGTCACGCGGAAGCTTGCCGTCTATTCACATGGCGCGATAATGCTACCTTTTGGAAGAACTCGTAGGATTTCCTTGCGAAGGTAATCGTTCGCCCTGTCCGATGACGCAATAACCCTGCCAGATGTCTAGCGAGTTCATGGGTTGATGGGCGTATACCGTCAACTATGGGCGGCACCGCAATATCGGGTTTATGAATCGTAAACAGGCCATAATCTCTCGGATGTAAAGCCGAGTACGCATATAAACTGTACCACTGGCCTTCACCTAAATTGTTCTTCACGGACCTTAGATAATGGTCAACATCGGTCTTAGTCCGATTTATTGCTCCCGTTTCGGTTTTATTATCCACCACTCTATTTGGATCCACCTCCAAATGCTGCGCCATTATCCCAGATAATCTAACGTTTTTCTAAAGTCACTGTTCCTTGACTTTTTTGGAGTGCAATGCTGCATCTTCCTTCAAGGATTTCAATGACATAAGTTCAGTTGCTGAAATATTTGGTGAACACGGCTGCTGAAATTTTTTGAATTTTTCTATCTACACACAGATATTCTCACAGCGAGTAACTTTATTATCGCGCTCCCAGCTCTTGGAATACTCTGTAACAAATATCCTAAAGTTATCCATAGTAAAATGGAAACCTACACTCCAAATCATCTAAAACCTCAGCTGACATGTTAGCTAAATTACAATAGCTACGAGTATACCATTTCACCTTTGCTTGCATCTTTAATACAGTGGTTTTCATCTTAGTGCAGCAGCTTGTATCCTTAGCGCAAGAAGTATAATCCGATAGTCACGAAAATCGCATCCGTTTACCTTCATGCAAACGCCGCAGAAAAGACCTGTGACTACGACAGGCGCACCGAGGAATAGTAGTTTGACGCATTTCACCAAATCGTTAAAACCTGTATCAACTACTACTCACAGGTCAACAGTTAGAAGAAGGACTCACGGCACTTCAACTGTTATATGCACAACTGTTCCGAAGTCGCAGTCTTGTATGATAAAGGGAAAACTGATGGACAACCGCAACGAGTTGAATACCACTTGTTGTGCGAGTAGGATTTCGGTTAAGCGTACGACCCTGAGATGGACCAAATGTCATTAAAATACAAAGAGTTACAGTAAACCTCGAACTCTCCGGGTGATACTGAGTTCCGCTGGAGACACCAAGACCGTTTTACTGTGTTCGATTCAGCTAGGTGACTTGTCACCTGAGGTGCGCATACTTCTGGACACAGATTGAAAAGAAGAATGAAATGAGAGCCGTGACGGTGAAGAATTCCTTAAATCTATTGGCCAACAGACCAATATATTTTACTGAGTTCCCGAGTTTCAGACTTGCTTATCTGAGTGAGCGGTTGCCAAAGACTGCGAACATTCTCGCTGGACAGTATCATTGCTAAGCAGTTAAGACAATTTTGAGTTTCACCCAACTACATAAGGAATAACTGGTGGGTCAAGTTTGGACTACACGTTGTGTGCAGTGTTTTCGGGTGGGCAATACCCAATCTCCATGCACACAGGGACTGGTCCCAGGTTGATGAAGATGGTGCTTCAGTTTGAGGTAATAACACCGCGCATCTTGGAAAAGTGGTCTAGGTTTCGCATGAGTCTGTCTAACTTAGAAGTGCTTAAACTTTTCGCAAGCAACGCCACATTTTTGAGGTAAAAATGTGTCGAGCCATATTCAGACTAACATTAAGATAATAACCAAAAATGACATATGCTCTAAATGTACTATTGCATGTTTGTAATCTGAAGGGTGAAACTGTGGTCATGACTGCAGTAAATTGGTCAGGTCAGGATCAAATGCACTAGTTTTGTTACGCAAAATTTCACGTAGGTGAGCATCACTCAGTCTCGTCTTCACACACTTCTTGTTAAAATTCCAAACTAAGAATGGGTGCTCACAAAATATGTCGAGCCAAACAAGCAGAGCGTTTTCATAGCCAATGATCGAAGCTTATGATAAATGCGGAACAATGTGATTTTATTTCTAATAAAATAGTAAAAAATTTAAAAAAAAAGCCAACCAACGAGGGTAAAAGCATTGCTTAACAAGTCCCCATGGGGATGGGGAAATTATTGCAGATAAAATGCTGTATTGTCAGGATAAAGTGAAAAGCGTATGTGGTGGTACTCACCACTACACTTATGCACCCTAGCGGAGATAGCATTTCGCGTATTATAGTATAAATTCCATTAAAATCCATTGGTTGGGCGTTCGGTAAGAACAGCGTGTGATTGCGTTTTGTAGCCCCCTGGACTAACAAGTCACAATTGGACGCGTGGAAGAGCAATAGGCGCCTAAGGGGACTATTTTAGCGGGACCTTTCAGGGACGATGATAGCCAACCCATTAGTGTGTTGCGGACTTCAAAGAAATCTGTGTGATTCGGTAACCGTTTGAGGCACCCGATCAAGTATTTTCTGCATGCGCAAGCATAGAATTCATATGGCATATTTCAAGTCAATGGTATCAAGTATGTGGTTCAGGCAATGCAGCTAACAGAATGTGTACGATTGTTAGTCAAGGAAACCACTTTAGGACCTGTCTATCAACTCCAATGAGTTGATGAAATTCCTCACACCATTTTTACCAAGTTTAGAAATAATCCGTCTATTATAGGAGTGTTATGGCTTGGCCTGTAATTGTCCATCTTCTGTTTTGAGCAGCCTTTGTGGCGAGGGCTGATAAATGAAGTTTTTCATCGATTTGCAAAGTACTTGGATCCCAATGATACGGCAAACATACACAAAAGGAGCATTGACATATCAGGCCCTCGCAGTTTCATGGCGAATGGGGGATGCCACCAGCTTCCAAAATTGAGCCCCGTTGCATAGAACGTGTTGTTTGGCGGATATTGCGAAGAGCCATGGCAATTTAGATGTAACCTTATTGTAATTAAAGATCATGTAGTTGCAGAATAAACAGTTAAATGCGCCTGAATACCGTACACGATTGTCATGATCAATGGAAACCTTTTTTTGTTCTTTGACGGAGCATTCTGACCAACTCTTGTGCTTTACATGTCATTAGTAATGTTGCCTGATCTTCAAGTGTTCACCCCATCATCTGTGAATACTTGATTTCAGAGATGAGTCGTTGCATCTGTGGTATCATTGTGAAAGAACTTATCGTATTTTAGCGCGATCGAATTGTTGGCTTTCTGACGCACCGGATGTTCAGCTGCTTTTATAAACGTCACTGTTTCGTTTTTCTTGTGCAGCAAAGTGGATTATGGCTTGCTGCGACTTATGATCGAAGTGCTCCACGGCTGTGCATGCATTGTTGGAGAGAAAGTAAGCGTCTCAGTCGCAGGACCGGATTATTTGAGGGAACGGTTTCCAGTTAATACTTCGACTGGTGTAGTAGCGAGCAGGTACTTGTTTGTTGTCCATTTTATCGGTGAACATTCAGAATATCACATTACCGTCCCTTCTACGGATGTTCTCTGTAGCGTCTCTCAGTATGTTGGCCATACGCAATGTAAACATCACGTCTAATGTGTTCGTCAACTTAGTTGGTACAGTAACTCACTGGGTTCAACCAACTGATTGAATAAATAAAGGCTCTGTGTGTAGACAAGAAGGTCTAGGAAGACCAGTGTATCTTCGGTATGTTTAAGTCACCCAAAATTTTGCTGTGTTCGTGCGTCTATTCCGATGTGAAATCGACAGCTGAGGTGATACGGACAACACTCGTGTTTGATGAATTTTGTGGGCAGCAGATAGATGCAAGTAAACCGAGGCTCCTGAGAAGGAGAACCTGAGAGAATCAGGGACATTTGCCAGCGGTGCATGTTCAAATCGTTCAGCTGCACATATCTGATGGAGTTGCATGAGGTATCCTACACCTTTTCTTTTACATCGATTTTACAAAAAGTGTTAAAAGGGTGTAATTGGATTTCAGTCTAACAGATCAGCGGTGTACAACGTTTCGGTAACGAGGATTGCTTGCAGCTCGTCTACATGTGCAAGCATGCTTAGATAATACCGTTTGTTGACAATCCATCTGGCTTTACTCAAAGGTAATGAGAACATACCATGTATGGTAGAATCAGCGTTCGCCTCACTGTTGTGTGAGTAATTGTAATCGCGGATTATTTGAGCGTTAAACATGTGTGAGAGCATTGGGAACGAGTCCCCTGCTAATAACCTTGCGGGAGGGGTAGTGTGCCGTCCGCGATCGACGGTATACCTTGTGAAAGGAGAGGGTTGATGTATCGAGGATACATTGCGGTTGACTTGACGCTGAGCTAACCTGGTCATGGGAAGCAATTGCAGAAATAACGGGGGGCATGTATTTGGCATCTGTCGCATACGGAGAGAGTTTGAATGGCCGCGATTCCATTCATATGTACATAAATATATCCATTTACATTATAAACTTTGTACTGCATTCTGTCCTGGCACAACTCCATAATGTCAGTCACACGACTGCGTTCCAGCACCTTCTCTCCTAATATCGCTGTAGCCGTTTACATGAAGTGTGAAACCGAAGACAAGTAAGATGTGCTTCGATATGCCTGCAGATCCTATACCCCAGGTGCCTGCTCATTTTTTGTTGCATTTCAGATGAGCTGAAGCAAAGAAGAATAAAGGTGACTTCTTACGATCACATGACTAGCACCGCAGTTGTAGCGTACTCCTTCAGTTCATGGACGCTGTGACTGCGACGAAATTTCTAAAAGTCGTGACAGATTGCAATAAGCACGACAGTCCAAGCACTGTGCGTCGTGATACATGAAACGCCCGTTCAAAGTGAAGTGTGGCGGAGCCGAGCTTAGTTATCACCTAATGGAATACAAATAACAACGTATGAATTGGACACAGGTACTCCAGACCGGTGATCCACACCAGTCTGAAAGTCACAAGCGGTTCACGAAATGGGACCATTTAAAGGATTATGAATGTTGATGAACCCTCTCTATTACATCCAGTGACTTGGATGCTAGACTCAAGGATTCGTCAATTGCATCACTCGAAAACGAGACACATCGTTTTGCTACAAAACTGTCGTATTGCTAAATGCCACATCCTCGCCGAATGCAGCACGGCAGAGCCAATAAATAGTGGCGGCGCACAAAGTTCACTCGGGTAAATCAGGTAAGTACGGAAACCAGCCAAACGCAGTTCGCTCATTCACCGACGTCCTAGCAGCTTGTTGTGAATAACTTACAGCAGGGATCCGCGCACCGTAACCTTGACATGGACAACTATTACAGGCAGCCAAACAAGCAACGATTTTTGCACTCAGTGACACATTGTTGCCGATGTGCAAGCTACGCGAATACATGGTGTCATCAGAGAGCAGCGAGATCCTGAAGCCCTGTTGGACGATGACATTGGCTCCACAATGCATTCTTACAGTGCATTTATGGCGCTTGCAACAACACAATACTCATGCATCGACTATATTGAAGCGCAAGTGTCTGTCATGGCTAGGGTGGATTTAAACAGCAACTACCTAACTTGGTGTCAAAGCACCTGCTCAGCAGCGCACTATGTTATCGATGGACGGAGGCGATATCTGAATCTCCGGCCATTTTCGTCTCCTTTGAATGGCATTGTTATGAACACATTTTTCTTAGGGACGTCAGGCACTCGTTCGTTCCCGGTTTCGCGTTCCCGTTTGAGCGCTTTGCTAGGAACTTCTCCGGACCTGCACTTTCGCGTACTGTAGAGGGGTCGGGTTGCAGCTCACATGTAATCGCTTCTGCTGAGCATAGCTGGCTAGCTATCACAAAGGTGGGACGAACCGGAGCTCGTTTGTAATTCACAAAACACTAAGTGTCAAACATAGGGTAGTGTATCACTTAGATTTCTTTTAAGCGAACATCTAAATTATAAGGCGTTGTAGGATTCGTTCTCAACTGTAAATTCGATTAGGGGGTGACAGTTGCTTAGCGCCAACTATAGTTGTTCTGCTTTCTGGGCAGTGTGTACAACGAAGAAAGTCTCATTCAGGTAGCGGCTATATGAATGTAGTGGTGTGTATCACAGCTTGACGATCTCTGTATGCAACCTATCCAATCCGTTAAGTAGATGTAACCGGCTGACAAAAATACGCTGTATGGCTGAATTCGGATCATCCTGTCGAAATGTTGTTCTTTCTTGCTCTTTTGACACTGGCAGCGGTTCGTTGTGTAGTTCAGCCTACCGTGCTCGAAATACTAACAGTCTTAATCGAGGCTGGCAATCATTCTCTCCGCTTTTAAGTGTCCGCCGAGATAGGCAACAGGGGAGTTAGATACTGAATGCCAAACAAGATGCATTTTGTAGTGCCGATGTTGCGCTAACTGAAACAAGCGTGATTTCGGAACGATTTGATAGCAAAAATGCATGGCAAGCAGCGCTACAGATTCTCCAATAACAGAAGCTCAGATAGTATAAAAAGGGGAAAATCAACATGCCATGATATGTAAACTAAGTAAGGATACCAGGACTAATCTATCTAAGAAGCTTGTCCCATGCATCTTGTTTTGAGAAGGAACTCCTAATTGTCTCAAAGTTATACATCCTTTGCACATGGTTGTGGTTGAACTTAGGGTTGTGCAATCACGGCTGACGTTGTATGCGCAGTTTCCGAAATTGTGGCAGAACCTCTGTGCTGCATATGTGTTTGCCAGTTTCGTCGGAGAGTGAAAGCATTGTGCCCCGTTCGGTCGGTCTCCGCCTAGTACCCTATGATTCCTAACTTAGCCCGGATCGCATAGTAGGGTAAGTGTGGATGACACCAAGTGTGGACGAAATCTATTCCACTGCACCCTGAGGACAACATAACGAGACAGCCACGGACGAAACCTTGATGATTGCAACCGTCTAAGTCAGGCTTGATGGTGTTCCTTAAATAAGCCAACATGGTACAAAACGTTTCCACCCACGCACCTGATGTGGCATAAACGGGCAGTTACTGTGCCGAGGGCTTGAGAACAAGACACTTAATCTCATCGCGCAGCGGCCGCGAGTAGGTGAACTGCTTGTCTGGAACTCAGGACAGATGCTTACCGACTCTGAGCTGTGACAATCGACTGCATCGTTAGCAGAGTACCCAGACCACATGTGATGACTGTTTGAGTGCTGGGATTGTCTAAGTGCTACTGAGTGCGTGTCCGCCCGCAATACGTGCAACCGACTCAGGAGAGTTTGCCGTGCAACTACTGTGTGTGTATGTGTGAATTCAGTGTATACTTTATCTCTAATTTCTGTACTCTGTTTGCATCTGAATCCTCAATAACTGATCTTGGCTACGGTTCTTTGTCTTCTACCACGTTTGGATGCTCGTTAGCTACGTGCTGTTAGTGCTGTAGACTAAGAATACTTCATAAAGTAAATATTAGGGATAGGTAGCCGGTGGGTAGACAAAATGTTGTGCCTTTAAGCATCACGTCAACTAACGCAGTGAGTAAGTCCTGTTGTGGCCTCACGTCCAACTGGCCATATCGCAGTAATGACTGGGAAATATTCGCATCACCGCTGACACGGCATTATTTGGTTACAATGTAGATGCTGACAATAATTAAGGCCACCTGCAACTGCAGGTGATTGAGTTGCAAAGTGATGTTGATCGTTGTACTCGGCACCAACAGCTCTATCTCTCTCTCTCAGCGATTTTTCTCACCATCGGGATAAAGACAGATGTCATAAGATTCGATCATTGGCTAAGAAAACGCTCCGCTTGTTTGGCTCGACATATTTTGTGAGCACACATTCTTAGTTTGGAATTTTAACAGGAACTGTGTGAGGATGAGACTGAGTGATGCTCACCTACGTGAAATTTTGCGTAACAAAACTAGTGCATTTGATCCTGACCTGACCAATTTACTGCAGTCATGACCACAGTTTCACCCTTCAGATTACAAACATGCAATAGTACATTTAGAGCATATGTCATTTTTGGTTATTATCTTAATGTTAGTCTGAATATGGCTCGACACATTTTTACCTCAAAAATGTGGCGCTGCTTGCGAAAAGTTTAAGCACTTCTAAGTTAGACAGACTCATGCGAAACCTAGACCACTTTTCCAAGATGCGCGGTGTTATTAGCTCAAACTGAAGCACCATCTTCATCAACCTGGGACCAGTCCCTGTGTGCATGGAGATTGGGTATTGCCCACCCGAAAACACTGCACACAACGTGTAGTCCAAACTTGACCCACCAGTTATTCCTTATGTAGTTGGGTGAAACACAAAATTGTCTTAACTGCTTAGCAATGATACTGTCCAGTGAGAATGTTCGCAGTCTTTGGCAACCGCTCACTCAGATAAGGAAGTCTGAAACTCGGGAACTCAGTAAAATATATTGGTCTTTTGGCAGATAGATTTAAGGAATTCTTCACCGTCACGGCTCTCGTTTCAATCGTTCTCTTCAAACTGTGTCCGGAAGTATGCACACCTCATGTGACAAGTCACCTAGCCGAATCGAGCACAGTAAAACGGTCTCGGGGTCTTCAGCGGAACTCAGTATCACCCGGAGAGTTCGAGGTTTACTGTAACTCTTCGTATTTTAATGACATTTGGTCCATCTCAGGGTCGTACGCTTAACCGAAATCCTACTCGCACAACAAGTGGTATTCAACTCGTTGCGGTTGTCCATCAGTTTTCCCTTTATCATACAGACTGCGACTTCGGAACAGTTGTGCATATAACAGTTGAAGTGCCGTGAGTCCTTCTTCTAACTGTTGACCTGTGAGTAGTAGTTGACACAGGTTTTAACGATTTGGTGAATTGCGTCAACCTACTATTCCTCGGTGCGCCTGCCGTAGTCACAGGTCTTTTCTGCGGCGTTTGCATGAACGTAAACGGATACAATTTTCATGACTATCGGATTATACTTCTTGCGCTAGGGATGCAAGCTGCTGCACTATAGATGAAAGCCATTGTGTTAAAGATGCGAGCAAAGGTGGAATGGTATACTCATAACTATTGTAATTTAACTAACATGTCAGCTGAGATTGCACATGATTTGGAGTGTAGGTTTACATTTTACTATGTATAACTTTAGGATATTTGTTACAGAGTATTCCAAGAGCTGGGAGCGCGGTAATAAAGTTACCCGCTGTGAGAATATCTGTGTATAGATGGTGAAGTTCAGAAAATTTTAGCAGCCGTGTTCGCTGAACATTTCAGCAACTGAACTTATGCCATTGAAGTCCATGAAAGAAGATGGCAGTACTGTACTCAAAGAAGTCAAGGAACAGTGGTTTCAGTAAAACGTTAGATTATCTAGGAAAATGGCGCAGCATTTGGAGGTTCAATGGAACAATGGA